TTGAGTCGCATTTTGTCCCTAATTAACAAGAAAGCACATTAGGTAATGACTGAAATGAAATGTCTTATTCTTAGATAGAACTTACTCCGTATTGCGCCTGTAATTCCTGCATACGTTTTGCCCGAATTGCTGCCAATTCGTCGTCCGCCATGTTGAGTTTCCCAAGGTAACCTCGCCTGGAAAGGCTCCTCGGCTTCTCAAACATACCACAGGAAGCCCACCATACCTTAACTCAGACAGGAGCTCATCACTGACTCAGACGATATAATTGATTTTTTAAATCACATTTTTTGCATTCTTGGCGAAAGAGAACTGAGAATGAACGCCGTGAGACGACTACATGGCTCGCTGGAGACCCTGTCATTTATCTTCCGAGATTTGTTTATCGAGAGACGCACGTGCTCGAGTGGGATGAAAGCCATAGTCATTCCGGCCGTTCAATGTTCGCGTGACTAATGACGTCCTTTGATGCCGATTTCCACTCGGAAATGAACAGAGCTTTAGTTGGATTTCGGCGGATATTACACAAGAGCCTGGTATTCTACACCACGGTAGTGACAGCCTGAGGTTATAAACCTGAGGGATATAAAACGAGCGGAAACCGGCTTGGATGCCTCGATAAACGATTTCATTGTAGCATTCGTATCGCTCCGGGAATCGTAATCGATCAAGATTCGTTGAGTTTGGGTCTGGAAATGGCCACTAACTAACCAACTGGAGAAGATGTAACTACTTTGCGAGTAAATTCTCTTTCCAGCTTACAGGCTAAAAACTCCCGGGGGGGGGGACTTCTAATATGAAAGGGGTGGAGATGCTCGTCGTCTCGCTTAGGGGTATAAATTTCGGATTTTGGTCTCACTCAGGGTGTTCTGGGCAAAACGCCATCATATTTAGCCGTGAAGGTCTCGTTTAGGGTTGCACGTGAAAAAATGTGAAATATGTGTATTGTCTGTGTTTTAACATGGTCTCTTTTAGAGGTCAAAAAAAGCGCGGGCTCCGCCCAGATCTGTCTCCTTTAGGGGTTTCATTCAAAATCTCCGACGAGCATCCCCACCCCTTTCATATGCGGAGTCCCCCCCCGGGTAAAAACTCTGGCAGGAATAGCGCTTGCGGAGCGGCCCAAATATTCCGAAGTCTTCTTTCCAATAAGGTGCACAATGGCATTATTTTGCCGCCATGTGGCTTGAAAAATGAGCGGTAACTGAGGCCGGAAAATCACGTGCTAGAATTAACTGATAAAATAACGGCAACTCAATTTCGGTCAATGTAGTGGTTTCCTGCACATTAATCGCCACATTAATGTGTAAATGCGCCGCTGGTACATATGCTAATGTGCGTTGGAAACGTTAACTACCGCAAAAAGTTGAAATTCGTCGATCTATAAAGTTTTCCTGAAAACATTATCTTATGAAGAAAAGAGTGCTGCGATAGCTTCCCATGGTAGCTGGACACTCATCCCCGCAATTCGGGGCAGTTTTGGCATAAATACGTTCATTTGATTACTGGAATTCCCTACCGAATAGGGAGTCAATGTTAGAATAAGTTTAAGAAGCTGTTTTACAAGTATTTAAGCGTCGGTCACTGATGCAGTACGTACTGTCTCTGAATCTGCATATATTGTGTTCTATAGGGGTGGGGGGATGGGGGAGGTGTTAGCCTTGTATGAGGATTTGGTTATTCTCTGTAGTTGCACCCTTTTTGCACCCACCCTTCTCATTTCACTATCTACCTTTATGCAAATAAAGCTGTTAAAACTTTAACGTAAGCTATCAAATGAACTAGCTTGAACTAGCTTAAATAACCAAATTGTAGACAAGTTTGGATTACCAACCGAGGGAACAGGAATTACATAAAAAATAGGCATAGCAAGTTAAGTGACAGTTAAACAAAGGCTAATATTATTGGAAACTCGGTCATAGGCTCACAGTTCTTGTAATTACTGATGCGAAAATGACAAAATTTCGATATATGTGATCGGTAGAAAGGCAAGGATATGAGTCTCTCCGAACGAAACTTCAATTGAAAAGAGAATATCAATGCTACAAAACTCGTCTAAAGCTCGATCACAAACTGCAGCCAATACGTTTCGAGAATACTCTAGAAAAAGTTTGTTGATTGGTATGTTAAACATTTTGCGTGCCAGTTGTGGGAAAGTTGGTTGAAAACGCTGTTATACGTGCCCTATGAATTAGCATGCAACTTACTGGGGATGATGGAATGTAAGATAAGAATATGGGTGACGGGTTGGGCCAATCACGTTAGAGCTCCCACCCCTTCCCCCTCCCCCACTCGCACTCCCACACCCATATGCTGCCCACAGACTATTTCTTACAGTTATTGTTTTTAGGCCAGGAGGAGCATGTTGAAGTTAGTTTACCACGGTGGTAATAATAATAGTGATTATTTTTTTTTGGGCCTTTTGAATAATTTTGAGATTTGATCTGACCAGGATTATTGACGATTTGTTTGTATGCAGCATGGTCAGAAAAGCCTGAAAGTGAGCGGGTAATTTCTAGTACCGCTCGAAGGATGTAACGAAAAGTAACGCCCTTCCTGATGAGGTATGTCAGACCGTCCGAGAAAAGTGCCTTGGGTCATACGAGGCCATTAGCCTACGGCTTCTGTTTGAGTTATAAGCCGTCAAACGAACTGAAGTGCCGCCGATTGGCCACAAAAGATCAGATCATTTGTACATGATCACCTCTGACAGAAGTTGACTCACACGACGATATTCAGTTTTACATGTGTTTCAAAAAGCCTTGCGTTTTAGCTCTAATTTGACAGTGATTTCATTTTTTACGTTAAGAGGGGGCCAGGCACTCAATAGTGAGAAATCTCATTAATAATTTACCCTTATGCAAAATTTTCTACTTCGCAATACAAAGAAAGAGCCAATCCTTTTAATAAATGGTGGTTTTTAATCTCTATTTCATTATGAAAAAAGTATGGTCGTTTTAGTAGGGGAGTCACAGTACAAATCAGTTCTTTTGAGTAAAAATATATTATGTTCAACATAGACATGATTAACGAAAGCCTATCTAAAGAATCACTTTTAATTAATTGTGCTACTAAAGAACAAACAAGACTAAATGAAATTCTTGTAATTCATTTGTTTGATTTTGTCGGAGGGATCAAAGACTAAAAAATGTCGTCAGAATTTAGATTTAACATCAATTAAAATTAACATTTAAACTTTCCGAAACTCAACGCACAATACACATTTCCGAGTGTATTTCCTAGACACACCTTTATACATTTCGTTGACTGCTTCCGTATCAGCTAAAACAAAAAGCAAGAAATCCCATCGGATTTTAGACAACGACAAGTACTTCAAGAGCGTATTCAAGTGTTTGTCAATTGTCTCAAGATGACTTCTAGGATTTTTCTCACAGCATTGTGTCTGCTGACAATCTCTTTTGCTCTGGCGTCAGAGGAAGGCGATAAGGATTCAACCTCTTTAAAGGTAAAAGAATTAAATGGTTCGATTCGTCGTTCTAACTCTCATGAGTCGCTGTAGGAACTCGGATCGCCTAACTTGTATGTTTGCTCTGATGTCTGCTTCACACGCCAATAAAGCCACACAAAATGTAGAAAATAAATGCTTAATGTTCCCAGGGTAGATCATACTATGTAAAAGTAACCTGTAGGTAGCGAAGGCAGTTTCGACACCTCTCCTATTGTAGCTAGCTAGCTGAACATCAAAATGCTGCAGTTAGTAAAGTAAGTATCAGTATGTTACCGAGCCGATTAATATAAAGTGCGTATCACTGTAGCGTGAGATTAAATCACCTATATAATTTAGAGACGCAGATAAACGAGACCGTGATTGAAGTTCGTCGATTCTATGGACTAAAGTTTTCTTGCCTACGTGCAAGTTCTACCGTGGATTCTCAAGTCCAAATATTCATCTCATCTTCGCGTGTAGATACGGAACCCGAAATTTCATGGTAGTGCAACCTCAAAAACATGACACTTCAGCGAGGTTTAACTGAATATATTGACAAATAACTAGGGGAAAAGAGTTTCGACGCCTACCATTGTCTAGTTTTAGAAAAGGATTCTTTGTTTCCTCGAGGTCGAGAAATTCAGTTTACATTGGGTCGCTGGATCGCGCCTTGCGTTTGTGAAGCCACTGACAAAAAGTACTTAACTTCCTAACTTCCTCTCCACCATCACTTTATCATTATCACTTATAATCATTTGCCTGGACCAGTAGGAAAACCCCAAATGACTCATTCCATAACCGCAAAAGTGACATCAAAGCTGTCAGTTTGATAACATTACTTCATTAAAAAAGCAAGATTCTGCTCTCAACTCGTTTCTGACCAACTGTTTTGACACAAAGAGTGTAGTGTAACAATCAGTCCATTTTGTTGTAGTCATGTTTCGCTAGATTACCAGAATATGAAGACATAATAATTATAAATGGAAAAATCTGTCAGAATAAGCATGAGAAACACTTTCGGAAGCGGTATTTTCCATGTTAGACACGGTTTTCGTGTTAGCAAAAGAATTACCAAACAAAAGACCTGAGCAAATATGATTGGCTGACAAGTTTATATTTGATTCCTGAGTCGGTCACTGTTTTCAGTTTATTTTTCGTAAAAGAATGAGAAAAAAATGAGCCTTCATTGGGCTTGGTGCCAGAGAGTATTCTAAATATAACATGAGTTTTCCTTGATATGCTTATAACTGTTTTCAGCTTTATCTAAATTCGTTCTACAATTTCAGATACATAATTACAAAATAATTACATGACACTGATGTTTTTCAGGATCACTGGCTTGTTTATTTTCGATTTATTTATTAAATTCTTATAGTTTTTGTTTTCAGGATATTAGAAAGAAATATTGCAGAACACTCCGTTCTAATATCTCTAAGTGACCCTTACAAAGATGTTGCATGTTCGCACAACCTAAGACCAATCATGGCTTATGATATAAAAAGAAGAGATAATCTCAGATATTGCAGTCTACAAAATATATTATTCCCATCTTGTCGGATGCTTCGAGACATTGATATTTGTAGCCTTTTTTAAAAATATACTTAGCGCTAAAATTGGTCCTTCGTCATGGGAAATACTTGTGACAAAAATTAGTAACGAAGGATGTATTTTTTGACTCTTTAGTCTTTTTACCCATCTGTTGACGACGGCCTTAATCTGCGAGGGCGTTATGATCATGACAGTGTGTTTATGTCGTATCTGGGTGACTAATGGATTCAAACGAATTTAGCGCTAACGTAAGAGGACTTTTTACGGAGTTGATGAAGCAAAGTTCATGGCCGTCGCAAAGTTAACAAGAGGGCCAGAAGAGAGATAGCCTTCGAGCAAGGCTCAGGGCGCTCTATGGACAGCAGGACACAAAAGGAAGGAGCTCTCCCTCCTCTTGCGCCCGTCGTCAGAGCGTCCAGGAGAGCTTACTCGCAGGTTATAGGAGAAATTGTACCGAGAGACTCTTAATCAGAGCGCCATCCTTTTAATTTAATCTCTTCAAGTGGCCCACTTACGTTGTAACTTGGTCAATGAAACCCATTTATTTCTCATAGACGAATTCGTTATTCAGTACGAGAAATTGAACAGCTAACCTTGTACGACACCGCACTTCCTTGATCCAAAGCTAAGATTCCAAGTGTATATTCTCTTCTATCGATGTCCCAGCCTTAATTATTCATGTATTATTAATTACACCTTCCTGATGGTCTTTACATAGTTTTCTTTTTGTTGTTGTTATTTTTTTTTCTGCGTCGCGCCAGACTAAAGCATTAAATCTATTTATCTCTGTTTTGATGGAGCAGGTGTTCCGGGCTTTTAATTCCGTTTGTCTATTGATGTAGACGTATCGTCTTTATCTGTTTTCGGCCTATTATGCATATTTTCAACCGAGCCACCGTGGATTTTCAGAATTTTAAGGTGGCCCCGAACCGCTTCCTACTTCCGGTCACCGAATTCACGTTGTTTTCAGTTCTCTTTCTCTTTAACTACAATAGAATAACTTTGGTGTCTCACTTCTTCTTTTCTACATCACAAGTTCTTAGTTACCTTGTTTATTTCTTTGTTGTGACTTTCTAAAAATATAATATTCTAAGCATAAGCATTCAAGCATACATGTCTGACATATTAAATATTGTCGGTTGAGTCGCCGTGGTTTTTCAGCAAGCAGACATATTTTAGATAGACCAAAGGCCCAACCCACGAGCGGCTTACCGCGGCGTTAGCACTGTAAAGACTTAAACGAAACCGGAAACCTCTTATGAAAAGTTTCTTGCACCAGGGTATAGAAGAGGGTACGGACCACTTGAACTGACAAATGTCTACATTAGACTCCTGAAGGAGAAGATCATCCTAAAACGATTAATAAAGATAACGAACCCATCCCGGTAAAGCCACAGTCATCGTCAAAAGTGTTGGGAAGGCTGCTACTCTTTGCCTCTTTTTTTTCTTGTTCCCGTCGTCCCTGGCCGAATGTTGAACAAAACTTGAGTGTTTGTGCGGGTCATTGTCCTGTTATATCCCAAACTTGAATGTGGGGGTGGGACAGGGGATATTTAGCACAAAGCAAAGCCACTTTTTGAACAATAAAATGAACCACTGTTAAGTTGTACAACCTTCCAAACTACTTTTGTCTTGGATTGTAGCTAGTCCTGCGCAGATCATTTAAGGGAAAAAAGGACGGAGTCATAACGTTCTGCGTAGGTTTATCCCAGCTAAAAGGAGACGGGAAACGCTCTGATTGGTCAAATATCTCCCGCAAACAACTAAGAAGACATTTCCTGTAACTTATTTGTCTTTCTTTTCAATAGTCACTTGGAAGAAGCTCGCACCACAGGTCTCGGAAGACAACTATGCATTGTCAGGACCACAGTTACTGTCGCAAGCGCGAGCTGTGTCACAGCGTCTTCAAGATTTGTTTCCCTAAGCAAACGCACAGAACAAGAATGAAACTAACGAAAAATACTAGAACATCACCCTCCTGCAAGAGTAACGATGATTGCCGGCGAAATCAATCTTGCCATGCAATTTTTGGGACCTGCGTGGACATCCCTCGTATGCAACCAACTATAGCAACCAAGTCTCGTGCAGCCATTCACATGTGCAATGATAATTCTGAATGCCCCGGCGGGCAATACTGCCACGACTTTTTTAATATGTGCTTGCCAAATCTCACATTGTACTTTAAACCTACAAGTTCCCCACCTGTCGCTGACTGTAGATCAAATACCGACTGCAAAAACGGAGAATTCTGCCACAACTTGAGCCGTTTATGCCTACCATTTCCCACACCAGCCACAACAGATCCAACTCGAAAAGGCTCGTATGCCTGTAGTTCTCATGCCGACTGCAAGATGACAGAATTCTGCCATTTTCTGATTGGGATGCGGCGACGAGATCCAACTAGAACTGGCGCCCAAGACAAAACGCTCAAGAATGCTCTAGGTGTGTGCATCGCTCGGGCCTTGAAGGAAGTTCCTGACGATCCAAGCCCGGTCTTTTTAAATTGCAGTCAGAGTTCAGAATGCGGAAAGGGGAGATGTTGCTTGAGTGACCTAGGGTTATGCGTTGGCTATCGCCTGCCTGGACAACTTTGTGTTGCAGAGGTGAGTGTAGAAAATTGTAATATATTTAACTGAATAGCAAAAAATAAACTGAAGCCTGTTAAAATGTCGTGGAAGCGCAATGCTATAGTGGCCAACATATAGTCTATCGACTTGGAACTCAACAGCTGTTTGATCGACGTTGTTTGGAAAAGGCATTTTATTCCACGTTGCCTCGTCTGCGTGGGAATACGCACCAAAAGGGTTATGATTGGGTTTACCCTGCGATGGCGCAGCATTCGTTTCTAGGTGGAGCGGTATCACCTTTGCCTTATCATCAGTGGAAAGTACTCAGGCCCGACCACTAACAGGGGAGACGTCGGTTCGATTCTGGCTCGAGACTAAACAGGTCTGTTTTTCTGTCCAGATGAGGTGTGTATGAGGAAAGGTGTCTCACATAATATAATTTATTATGGTAAAATTAGTTATATTTAAACTGAAGAATGGTATATGGGATATAACTTATATTAGTGTAGCCTTTCCCAGACTGGGGCATCACGGCTTGTCAGTACAAAAAGTGGATGGCCGTTCTTCTTGTTAAACTTGCCACCACATATCTGACAAATGTCGGGCATTTCCAGTTTAATGCTTATACGCAGATACCTTTTGGTCACCGTTTGTTTTATTCACTATTATTATTATTATTCTATTATTATTATTGTATTGATTTAGCTTCCTTATTTCACCTAAACTTGGAAGCACAATGTCAGTGGCTGAATTCTCCATGACCACGGTGCACCACTAACTCTCAACTACGTAATTCCGGTGTTTCCCATAAGGAAAGTTTTTTCTGCTCTTAACTTCAGTCGTCGTAGCTAAAATTACTTTGAACCTTAAGAACATATCTATAATTTCTGTAAGTTACTGTATATTTAATTGTTTTCTCGTTTAGGAAGTGTCATTTTCTTGTCCTTGCTTGCCCGGATTTACCTGTATCAGTAGAAGACGCCCAATGCGGATGAGAAGGCTTCAGAAAAAGCTAAAGCTAACAAACGAGGCAATAAAGAAGTTGAATTTAACAACAACCGAGTTCAAGGTTGGGAAGTGTCAGCTCCTGTCAGATTAAAATGTAAAACTGATTTTACGTCAACGGAGAACGTGTAAAGGAGGATATAGAAACGATGACCGAGTGATGAGCAAGAGTTTCGTCTGTATACTTGATCTGAATAACCCGGAAGAATGAATTACATATTCTACGTTGGATGGTAATGGTGGATTGTTTGAGACGAAAGGCTGTGCTATGCGATAGTTTAGTGTACAAAAATAGCATTCAGAGTAATAATGTATAAAACTCTCTTCAATATGTTGTAACTTCAAAAAATCCTTTGGTTGAATCAAAATCAATCAACAAAAGTATTTGTTTTATTTGAGCTGTGAACGATGAGGGTGATCAACAGAATTGGTTTCTTTCACTTTTCACGATTACGAGCAGACAGCTTCATTGAAGTAATGCACGTTATAATTACTTTCTATCTTGTAGTTTTAATTAACGTATGTAATTTCCTCTCAGAGTTGATTTGAATTTAATATTTAAAACTAGAACTTGATCAATAGACTTTCCGACAATTGTAAATTTTACTCTTTTATGTATAATGCTCGCTAAGAGGTAACACATATGAAGACATATACAATTGTAGTGATGATTAGAATCAGAATGGTTTAGGTAAAAAAAAAATATATTAAGAATTAAAGTCATCATGACAATTAAGTGGTGTAGCCTTTTTTTTCGTTTGTGGGTGCCATTCCTTGCGCTTCAGAGACCAAACAAGGGCAGGACTCCCGATAAGGGTGGATTTATTATATCGAAGTGGGGAATGAGGATGATCAATCACACCTTTTTTATGTTCCCGCGCGCAAGGACACCAAGGAAATCGGATGTGAAATAATTGTGGACAGTTTCCTTGAAAGAAGCACGTGCATTGAAGACACTGCTAACAGTCCCTCAGGTTGCCATGTGGAGCACCATGTTACGTGCGAGCTAGCGAGGCAATCGCGCAAGGGAGAAGAGGAAAAGAGAATGTGTCGACAGCGCTTCATTGTTTATAAACCAATCAAATGTTCTGATGCTGCAGCTGCGGAGAACGTGTCGATGACAAAAGAGATTGCAGTCCCTTCTCGATCTCTTACTCATATCCTCTTGGTTAAAGGTTTTGTCTTTTTCCCTTTATGACTTTTAATTGTTCTGTTTTGTTATTGTCCTTATTAAATTTCACAAGTAATATATTGACCTTTGATCTCTTAAACCCCCGGTTGTTCCTGTACCGAGAATGGCTCACTCTTTCCTTGAGTATATATGCAGTGAGGCTGTTTATTGCTTTTCAGAGGTTTCAAACGTGATATGCCTGTCGTTTTCCAGTTCTTCCACGGACTTTCTCTAAACAAGCTCTTTTGTGTTATCACTTTCTTCATTTGGCCCCGGTTGTTCAAAATATGGATAGCACTGTGCACTGGATCAATTTGGGAAACCAGTTGCGAAGAGATTTATCCAGAGGCGTTATCCGCCTTCTTAACAACTGGGGACAGAATGTTAACGTTTTTAGAAAAAGTACTCATATTGATTAAGGCGTGCAATGCAGTTCTGTAACTTTTAGAGTACGAATGAAATCCTATAACGCATCCAGGATGCGACCATTCATATGACACCTCCTCTGTAGTTAATTTACCCTCTTGGAAGTCTCCTGTTACTTGATAGACAACATTTTTTTCAACGGGAGGTTTCAATACATCTCTATCAAGTCTTGCTATTCAATTTGATGCCTAAGTTTTTTTCAAGGAGTTTTTACTGTTGCTGCTCGTTCATTTACTTTCTTGGACTGACTGGGGAGAACAGGTGCCAAGACCCAGGACTTTTAAAAGGTTTTCGAAAATTCGCTTCATAGTAAGTGAAGGAGCCACATTTTAATTTTGATAGTTGCCTTTAAAAAATTGAGACCTTGTACTTTGTCATTGTCTTATATGAAGGAACATCTGATACTGATAAGGCTGATGAGCGGTTGTGACATGGTTGTGGAAGCCAAGGCATTTCCGATTTCCGGATGCCCTTCTCTTGAATATCTTGTTACTTTTTAATGATACCGTACACCTTAATCTTTTTCCCTCTTAATTTCCCTTGGATAAAGAGAATACATCAGAATTTTTTCTAAGCACTATAAATTATCTATCAATGTTGCTTCAGGCATAGAATCATCGTAACTTTATTGACGAAAATTCAAAGTACATTGAGTACCGTATTTTCTCAATTTAACGCCCAACAAACTTGGCCCCCGTTTGTTTGAAATTTTAAGAAAAGTTTTTATGGCTTTTTCTTGACAGCCGATTGATTTATTATATGTCAATCCGTTTACATCTTTCAGAAAATACCACAGCCTTTAACTCAACACGCCCCCAAATTTTAAGAAACTTACTGATTGATTATTATGTCAATCACGTTGACATCTTTCAGAACCTTTAACTATAGATGCCCCGATATCCATCGCTTTCAAGGGAAAACCAAAATATTGCAAAGCAAGAGCGTGGGAAACCATATTCTGCTAACGCCATGTTAAGACTAGTGTCAGTGATCAACCACATGTTAAAGCGCTGTTTAAAACCAGACAAAGTAAAAGGCTATTTTTGCTTTCAGTGTCTCGCACGTTTCTTTATCTGGAATCGGTTTAAAAATGTGAAGGTAAAATTCTCAGAACGTTTCGAAAGTTAGCGTCAGTGTGGAGCCATGTGCAATTGACCTCAGAAAATTTGAGAAAAGAGATTATCTCCATTTATATTTATAGACAACGCTGACTGGAGTAAATAAACTGAAGGTGTAAGACTCTAACAAGGGTCCAGCCTCCCTAGCTACACCTCCATCATACAGACAGCCCTCTATTTCGGACAGTTTTCTAGTTACCGAAGATCAAAATAATTGGCTATAATTTCCCCCACCAATATGACACTGGAGGCTTTGGTCACATCAGTGTGGTTTAGATCAGTACGGTTGTGGAATTAAATAAATGCAGTGTTAATGATTGTCCTCTAAGAGGGTCATAGTGAGCTGGCTGGTCCTAAACTGCCAAGCTAGGGTCTCCAAATTGTCCAGTCGTTAATTATCAGGGCCACCCAACGACAGCTTCCTATTGAAAACACTTTTTAGGCTATCCAGAGTACTTTTAGATGACTGTAGAAATACATTCCCCCGCAAGTGGTGCTATAAAATTTGTATCTCTTTGGTTATCCTAGGGGAACTTGAGTCTTACGAAAGTGAGACATTTTCTGATTCCTCTCTCCATCAAATTTTTGAATCCGAAACTTCAGTTTCCTTTTGTCAACGAAAAATGGCTAAACTTGGGACGTGAAATGTGAAAATTAAACTTCAGAAAATTAGATAAGCTTCGAAAATTTTTCATGAATGGAAAGGTTATCTAGAAAATTTTTAGCCGTTCTCAAGGGATAGAAATTCTTGGCAATAATCGCATCTCCGAGCAGATATTTTACAGAAAACAGTCGTTTGGTGCCACTGAATTATCAACTGGAGAGGAAAAGCACTAGAGTCATTCAGAAGTTTTGAAGAGGTCGCCCAGTTCTTGCCTGCGTCGCAGACGCTCTAAACCTTCTGTACTTTTGTGCACTTCCACTAATTCGCAGACGGACTATACAAATGGTTTAGCCGAGTGCGTGGGCCAGCTGCAACGCAGGCTACCCAGTTCTTATCATGCCAGATTGGTGACATTTCATTAAAATGCGATAAAATGTTATTTCTCTGTCATCTTTGAGAATTTGATTAGAATTAGAAAAGTATTGAGGAGAAGTGTATTGTATTGCAATGAATTGGGTGATTATTCCAATTATCCCGTTTGTTTCATTGTGCCCCTCTTAAATTTCCAATTGTCGAAACGTGCTCGGCGCCGGGGCTCGGCGGTGTACCACAAAAGACTTTGTTAAATCCTGGTGAGCTGACTTGCAACAGATTTACTAGGTCGGCAACTTAAACATATTAACACAAGCTTTATTAACCTTAACGGCCGGATACCAATTGACAAAAAAAATGTAAGCTCAGTGCATCATGTGATGTTTATTAATACAACGTAAAAGGTGGCACCACGTTGTCTTTGCAAATTTTACCAGCTTATTTTTTTGTTATTATTTTTTAGATTGTTTACTTTTCCCCATGTTTTAGGGCTCTTTTCGTTCGTGGAGTTGATTACGTTGACCTGATGTGTCATGTGTTAGTTTACTGCACTGGGAGTTTGTAGATGGAAATAAAACCTCAGACAGCTAGTCATAACATTAAATATACAGTTTAATCCAGTATTCAATACAGAATGACTGTCAAACCAGTTTTACATGAATATCACACACAAAAGATCGCTTTTTTACCCGCTCGTCTGTCTAATTATCTTGAATACACAAGTAACTCTAGTATGTACAGTTCGAGGCAGGAGTAAATATGTGACAACCGCATGATTAATTTTACTGAGCCTATTCGGTATCTGTATAAACATTCACTCACGAAGATTTAATTACAGCGGTCTTTTACATTCTCTTAAATATGACGCACTTGCGCGCAATTTTTATCCCAACCTTGCCAAAAAGGGCGGGAAGTCGGCGCATTTGTAAATGTGAGAGTCATTAATTCAATACTCATTTCCTCTAACAAATTCCTTTTTTCGTTTTTTAATGAAAGCTTTTAAGATCAGCTTCTCTGATAGCTAAACTTAAAAGAAGCCGGCGCTGAAGATAAGTATAATATGGCTTGTTTACTGTTTAAGATGTCAATATGATTTGAATAACTTCTGGACGCTTCTTCTGCCCGACGCGCAGGCGCAGTCACCCCGGTCTGATTAGATTTCAATTATCACTTGTATACTGTATTTCTTTTAATAGAAGATTATATCTTCAGGCTTCTAAAGCTGCATTGGCGCCAGACAGAAACCTCTTGACTAAATACATAGAAAGAGAATTGCAGCTATTCTCAGATGGGTTTGCTTTCAAGTGTGCATCTGTTTGTATACGTTGTTTATTTTTGCGCCGCCGACCACCAGTAGGTTTCAATGTATAAAGAGCGTTGACTGACCAGTTTAGCCCCAGGCACGCTTACCAACAAGTACGTGAGAGCATGATTTTTATAGCGCCTACCAGTGTTTTCGTCTCCCTGATAACTCGATAACATGCTCACGCCGTTGAAATTTTGAAGTAAGTAAACAGATAAAGGCCGGTGAAACATCAAGATAGATTAAAACGTTACTACGGTAACAGACCGGCTCGAACTGTTCACGCCTGACTGGCAAACGGCAACATCTTTTAGTTTATTCTAGACCAATCCTTTATAAGGAGAAATATCGAAACCATCAATTTTTAAAGTACTTCTCAGTTGAAGGGTATACCTCAAAAATTGTATGTCTACTTCTTTTTTCCACCTCTTGAACGACATTTTGTTAAATCGAGTTGATTACGTAAAAACAGGTTTGCATCGATGGGTCAAACCGATTTTGACGTTTGGTACTACATATCAATCGGCTAACTGTGTAGGTGCCATTCTGAAATACATGGAAACGTCATAGAAGGAGCAAAAAAGATCTGTTAACTCCAGCCCAGGCGCAGGCTGTTACTATTACAAAATCATAAACTAGTGTACTCTCTGGATCATAAAGGCTTTCAACAAATCCGGTGGAGGAATAAAACAGAAAGTCAAAACTGAAACAAAGAAACACTGCAGTTGATTACTCTGCAGATAAATTCACATTAGCTCAGTCACAATTATTTGGATATTGCTTCCCTAGCACCTGTTACTACTTTTCCACACTAGTCATCGGATCGTAATGATGGATAGATATTTAATAGTAAAATATTCCCTAACTCTGTGCGGAATTTTAACAGGAAACATATCCAAAGTTCGTCCATCCGATACTGTTATTTCAACACATGGCATGGGGACTAGTAACTGAAATTATTGTTTCTGCTGAGATAAGGGTTGCAGGGTAATAATATATGGTTGTAAATTAATTGCGCCTGTTTTACCAGGTCTACCTTGAACAATGCACATTACAATATCACATTTGCAATATCTTGCTTTTGGGTTCCAAACAACAAGAATATTTCCAAAGATGTTCCTAGCCAACAAAAGTTATTCACAAAATTACGTTGTCGATAAGGACTTTGTGGCCTACCGTCAGAGTTCTTAACGTATCCATATTGCAATACGTTTATTGGGCACCTGCACATAACCGGCCCCAAGGAAGCCAAACTGGGCCATATCCCAGCGTGCCTTAAGAGGAGAGTCTTGTAGGGTGGCATAGTGGCTCTTGAGCATGACCTCGTTTTCATTATTGTCCAGCAAGCATGGCTTGTGTGCAGACGCCGGTGAGCCTACGTGAAGACCATGATCATAGAAACGATACGATTGCTTGACCTTGTTTCCCCAGCAGATGATTCTGCCAGTGAATTTCTTGTCGTTGCGGCTGTGTTTGATGATATTCCAGGTGTAGTCCACATCTTCAAGGGTGTATTCTCCCCACTCGTGGTCTACGAACATGGAGTTCTTTTTGCTTGGGTTGAAGGCAGCGTAAGCGTCTTCTGAGGGTGTCCAGCCGTTTCCAGAACCCACAAACGTGAACCTTACAGACTGACGGCCGGACACGAAGAGCAATCGAATCAGGGTGTTGTTCAAATGGACTCCAGCGTCAGCGTTGCTTTTGATAGACATGTCTACACTGTCCCGTTGGTGGATTTCATGGAACAAGTTTGCGTAAAGAGGGTTAGTTTTAGAACCAAGACACATGGCTCCATCTCTATCAGGACACACCCAGCTGTAGTCATGGGTTATCTTGGCAACCAGAGTCCATCCTCCACCCGACGTTGTCATGTCACAGTAAGCACGAAATGCATTTCGTTCGTTGTCCACACCAAGTGGGTTAATCCAGTACATGCCATCACCCTGGCTCTCACCACTGAACAAAATGTCAAGACAGGACTTTCTGGGTGACGAGTTATTTATCTCTCCCTGCAGGACAGTCTGCACTTGTAGCCATTGTTTCCGACTGCAGATGTTCAGTTTTCCACTGACTCTGTCGTACCTCAGCTGGCCTTCCAGCCGAGAATTGCAAGGAGCAGAGGCCAGACGCGTTGATGTCACAATTTTTCTGTAGCTGGTGGTGGTACTGGCGCTGGTACAGCTATCTCCTTTCTCACCCTAAAAGCGCGGAGACAACAAATAATTGAATAATTAATAAATAATTAGTCGCCACAATTTTTGAACATCGCATCTTATGCTAATTCCCCTTCCTCCAATCATCCTTCATTGATCTAAAATTCAGCCATTAATTTTTATCTTTGTTTTAAGGTAACTTTATGCCAGTTTAAACTTTCAATGGCTGCTACAGGTGTCTCCGCGGGATGCGTGCAAAAGGTATGACCCCAAGGCGTAATCATCCCAAGGAAATTAATGAAAGAAAAAAACAATTTCAAGTTGTCACCCGTTTGTGTGTTTTGTGTTTATTTGGATAGTTAGGGGCCTTATCTTCTTAATATAACGGGATAAGGGACATTTAAAACTTTGGCTCTTGATAATGCGACCAAATGGCTAATGAAAACTTGCAGAACTGCACGATAAGTTGAAGAAACGGTGTATTGTAGTTTGTGGACTTGCTCTGCCCAGCTTACCTACCCTCTCGCCATAACCTCTATCGTTCACCAGTTTTCAGAAAAATAAAGGAAAATAAGGCCCAATCGAGAAAATGCATCTGTTTTCAGTTAAAAAATTCAAGATAAATGATCGTTAAAGGGTTTGGACAACGTTTGCTGCCTGTAGAATGCTTCATGACAACACACACTGAAAGGTCATTTTGTTACTGCAAAAGCGTAACCCTTTCTGTCTATATCTTATTTACATTTCTGTAGCCGGAGATAATATACCTAATGGCTCTTATGATCAGAATGAATTCATTAAGTAGCCAAAGTGACCAGAACTAAGAAGAATAAATAGCTTGAGAGGGAGAGTAGAACAAATCCTCAACTAAGATTAAACTCTAACATGTCAGGGGCACCTAACGTCAATTTTTGGAAAATATCTGTTCGGAAGACGATTTGAGATCTAGAATTTTCGTAACATTTGTTGTTAAATTTCTTGCTTGCCTGCCTCTCCTAGGATTTTCTAACATCTAAAAAATGGTATAATTGCCCATTTTTAACGGATTTTTACCCTAAAAAGGTCACCTAGAATTTAAGAGAGCCTTTTTTCTGGCTGAAATTTTCGAAAAGGTAAGTTTTGATCCCTATAATTTTCGCATCACTAGACTTTCAGCTAGGAAATCCCAACAGATGAAAAATTTTTAGGAGATAAAAATACGCCTATATCTACCGTTTAAATACTAAAAAACGTTCAACAATGCTATGTTTAAGTGGTTTTGAACTATATTCTCGTTGGGTTCCCCTAACATGTCCCCTGGAATCATTGCATGCATCGATATATAAGTTGCTGTAAGAAACCAAGGAAAACAATACGCAAAAAAAAATGGAAATCTCCTCGCCATAGCCCATTTAAAGGTAGAATTAGTGTTCTAAGCTGAGGCAGATCGTGTGACCTTTGTCGCTGCCAAACTCTTTAACCCGTCCTTCACTCCAGGACCAAGTTATGGGGAAATTATTTGTCACTCTAACTTTTAAATCTGTGAATGAAATTCTATGGTGTTACCATTTAAATGAATCCTCTCTAGTAGGAAGTTTTCTTCTCAGTACTTTTTATCTAAGGGGATTTTATAAAGAAGACATTGATTTTTTGTGACTGTCTTCCACGGTTAACCAAATAGCGTTCTTCACATAAGAGGCCACACAGAAGACAGAATAAATCCCTGTATTAGCGGTTAATATCGTAAACCCTCGCAAGTGCCCTGTCAGTGGGGAATTCCGCTTCGAACTCGTTTTGCTCTTCCAGTCAGTTATTGAGCATGTCGTGTAATTCCAGTAACCTTCCGCAAACCTCTTACTTAAGTCCTATTGTGGATCCATGCATTCAAGAATCGTTTTGAACCTCTGTTTGCACGCACTTTTTGTTTCTCAGCAATACACACCAATTTTTGAATTGTAAAAGACTATGATGCAACACTGAGCTTCTCTGTTCTGTGTTTTCAGGAAAAAAATAGAAAGAAAGTCCTTTAAAACTCGGGGCTGTTTATTGTTTTTTTTTCCTAGCAGTGCTTATATTTCATCAAACAAGAGCTAAATAAAATTTTCCAAAATTGCTTTGCATTGTTGGAAGTTACAAGGGAAGTGGAGGAAACCTCGTTACAGTTACTATCATCGACCCTGGTGCAGGCAGAGTCAAAACAACATGAAGAGTTTGTTTTTTAGCTGTCAGGCCGATAAACATTATACTCTAAACCACACGAATTCCTACGGAAGGAAACAATGGGAAACAATGGTGGGGTAATGTGTGTTACAAGTATCCGTCAAGTGTTATTGCTTATTCGTCGATACCGTATAGACACGAATTTCCATTAGAAAAGAGGAGACATTATCTTCTTCATTGCAGTCTACATGTGAAAAAGAGATTGGCAAATCGGTAACAATATAACATTTTGAAACCAATTGAAAAATAATTTGTCTTGATGAAGGTAAATCCTCAAATGAACATTTCCGTGGGAAGTAATCCTAGATTTCCGTAAGAAGGAAATTCTTCACGGTCCTTTTCATTCCCTAACGCCAGAAATAGTTGTTTTCGCAAGGATTAATGTTTAAAAAAACCACGAAGCCGATTTAAAATGCTTAGCTAACTAATGATATACAGGTGCCTTAACTATCTATAGTAAAGGGATTTGAAGGGTTAAACAACATCTATCGGCTTATTTCCACCAAGTATATCCAATTGCACGCGACATGAAAAATCATTGTCATGGACCAATTTGTGGACGATCAGCGGTTTTCCTGATACTGTAACGTGCCTTTGTTATGCGTTTCAACTTCTGAGAGGGAAGAAGAGCTCGCAGTTAATTTCATTTTGCTTTAGGTAATATTTGAGATAGAGCGATAACACTTCAACGTTTTTTAAGAGTTTCGCAGCTCAGATGTCAACAAAGGAGTCCCTGCGACAAGTTTGCGCCCCCTCAAAAATAACCGGCGGCGGTCGCCGGCCACTGAAGATTGCATCTGACTTGTGACCGCTGTAAGTGATATTCTTGTACGCTTGTTACTTTTCCGACGGTTGCTGATAGCTTTTGTTCAGAGAAAGGAGTGCCTGATTTACCTTTGCTCAAAAAGCTCACAACAAACCGCATACCAACTGATAGTAATTCGTTCAATAAGTATTAAATTTTTTTGCTTCTGTTGGATGATGACCAATGAAATTGCCGCAAAGTTTAAATTTATTACCTTAGGCCCTTGGCTGCCTTTGTCTCCTTGAGGTCCTTGTTCACCCTAAAAGATGGAAATATGAGAGACAATGCTAAGAGAGTCTGTATCAAAGGGTCGTTCCCTAGCTTTGTACGAGCTGACAGTAAAACTTCACTGACCTCGCTGACAGTTCCATTTATCCAATGTACGTGCAACACGATCACAGACACAGGAGCAAACTGAAACTTGGTACTATTTAATGAACGCAAATTTTTGTCTGAGCAGAAGACGATGATTTTAGAAAAAAAAAACCACTTCCCCCTGCTTTTCCGATCGGCTCTTGTGTCTTAGATTCTTTCCAATAACATTGCAGGGTTCTAAAGTATTGATTAGTAGCAGTAGCCAGTTTGTGCTTTCTTGTGTGAGTATTACTTAATCACATTCAGTTTTACCGTAGTTCAGGAGTTAAACGAAATATTTTTATTTTATTCCAAAACGGGAACACTTTGAAGTTTACGTAGCTATTTGTTGATATCGGCTTACAATGACTACAATCATATCACGAAGCTCTTGAGAAATTGAGGTAATATGACGGTATACGGCAATCAAAGAATTCCAAACATACAAGATAAAAGAGAAATAATTGCTTGTCTCAGTTTGTTAAGCTGTGGGAGCCCACGACTGGATTGCTTTTATTGCTATATTGTATCACAGGGACCTACAATAGATCGTTAATGTTGCCTACCTTCTCACCGCGAAGAGCACCAATTCCTGATAGATAAACTTCCCCGAGTTTAATCTTCCCAGAAGACAACATAAGCTGGCCTCGGGCTGGTTTCAGAGTTAACTTGGCTTCTTTGGTATGCCTTTGGAGATTCGGACAAATTGTACAAGGTCAGTAAAAATTAGAAACGAATTACGCGATAATCACTTGAAACCTCATCAAAACTACATCATGGACACCGGTCGGTCAGAAATGCGCGCGACTGGATGTTGAGTAAAAATGATAGGTCGCACACTTACCCCGCGCGTTTGGAGGCATGCGAGATAACAGACGAGTAAAAGGCGACGTATAGCACAACAAGTCCTTGAAAGAGTGGGACACGCATCGTAACAACTTTCACGGCAGTCTAATAACAAGTGACTGAAAGCTTGGGTCTCGCGAGCTCTTCGAAGGTACTAAACACGCAGCGAGTTGATTGGATAAGGAGATTGACGTGCCCCCATCACTCAACTGCTGATAGCGCAAGAGAGCGATGGGAAAAACTGTCATCCTGTACAATCTTTTGTTTGTGTAAATAATTAACAGTTCGATAAACACCGGAAATAGACTCATAAAAGCATTGGTTGAATGCGGGCAATTTAGAGCTCATTTCACGCGGTCTTCGCACTTGGTGTATTCAAAGCTTATCCTGGCTCAATGAAAGACTGTTGTTCACTAATTACATCTTAGTAAACCTAGGACGCAAGTTTATTTATTTAATTTTTTTTTAGCCGTTGGGTGAAATCAAAACGATTTGTCCAGCAGCAGCAGAAATGGGTTTTGCTTTAATTCACCATTCCTCTTGAAACTGATGGAATTTAAGGAGTCGCTTTTGGTTTGCAACAACAGACAAACACGCTTTATGATTATAAATAATAGTTTTAACATCAAAGGTCAACGCTTCTTATGTTCTTGAATGAAAATAAAAAAGATTTTATCGGTACGCCACACCTTGATGCCTCCATAATGGCCTTTAAATGGGCTAAGTTAATCACTTAACACCAAACAGTGTCTAAGCGTTAATTAGGGCCGGAAAAGCACTTTACACATCAGCAATAATAATGTATGAATATGTTCTCTACGCCCAATTAGGTATGACTTTTTACACTTCAAACGGCATAACGGGGCCAAAACACAGTTTCTTGCACCCTCAACATACCTGTAGTTACCTGTTTAGTGGTCATACATCCGGCATACTTAATTGGATATCTGAAATATTGTCAAATGGCCTCTTGGACATGAGAGACCTCCGTGAATTAAGTGATATTGTCCAAATATCTGCTTTATAGCATATTGCGGCAGTCCTGTTATTTTAAATATATATTTCTTCTTCTCTAGTCAGCCCTCTGGACAAGCTTTCTGACGTCCTTGAACTATTTTTGTTTGATTTGTTGCAGATATGGTAACTTCATAAATACTGACACATCGGTGACGTTGGCTTAACAACCTGGGCTTATTACGTCATCACGTTTATCGCCTGCTCAACAGTCAGTCACGATTTTCCATTCCGCCGCACATCACGTAATTTTTCTTAAATAACCTTTTTACTTCTCAAGGGTAAATACTCAAAAGTTCAGTTTACGATGAAAAGAAAAACTTGGTAACAGAGTTACAAGAGTGCGATTGGAAGGGGTTGTGAGTAGACCCTTCTTTAAAATCGTGGTGTCGGAGAAAACTCCGACGGATCGCGAAATCTCGGATGTGCGGTCCTGAAGTATCGTTTTTATTTGTGCGTTCTCTGTCTGCAAAGTTTGGACTTTTTTCCAAAATGTTCTTGGATGGCAAACATGGGCTCTCAGGAAAGTCTTAGAATTATGATTCGCTGTCTCAAAAGGGGATGACCCGCGAGTTAACTGTAGAATGCCGGTCACGCCTCATTTGTTCAGCTTGTCCTGAGGCTTAAGATCAAACCTGTAGCATTGATGAAACCTTCACGCCATCAGTACACAAACATCGGCATCATTCAATGTCGTCAGGTAATGCTGCTGAAAGGCTTGTCACGCCTAGATACATGAGGTAGCCGGCTCTCCAAAAGTAACCGCATGGAGCAGCCTACCCAAGTTCAGAGAAAGTCAGTTACGGCCCGTGGTCAGCGAGCTTTCCAGTTTGACTGGAGTTGCTTAAGTCTTTGAATGACCTCGTTACAGAACATTGGCTCTTCACATCAAGAAGTTCACTTTTATTTCCACTCATCAAGTCTTTCATTAAAACCGTTATTACACAAGCTGGTGCTGGTCGGTTCTGATGTGAGCCACGATAAGTGGTTAAGCTACGTTAAGTTTTGGCTCGTGGTTCAAAGCTAATCAGGGGTTAAAAGGTAATCTCATTCTGAGAATTTCAAAATAAACCACCCAAACCGGTCGTTCTCATGTAATACGTGGGCTTGCAAGCTTTCCCCTTCGCATCCCAAGAATCGCCTTTACTCAACTAAAGCGTTGATTTTTGATGCAGCCAGTTGGGTTGTTGATCATTATATTAAAGGCATTATATTAAAGTCAGTCAGGCTCTGTCGATAGTGATTTAAAGGAAGATGTTTATTGCGGTCAGTGTTCACTTCAAATTATCCGTGCTTATCTATCGTTATTGATCCGAGTGAAGATCAGAAGAAGAGATTTTATACTTGCGGAAGAAATAATTAAGTTGTGTTCAGTGTTTGCTCTCTAGCGCTCAATTTACTTGTCATAAGGTTAAAAAATGTCTTTTTAGAGAGCGCAAAGGTACTGTAACCGACTCTATAACCTTGCTCTTTCTAAGCCCAGCGCGCGCTCATAAATGTTTCCTTGACCGGCCACCGGAGTCACTGAAAACTGGTCCAAGCGTGGATCTGTTTCGAGCACTTGCTGATGTTTTTCTCTCTTTTTCCTCGCCTCGGTCACTTGAGCAACGGTTAAATCCTCAGAGGTAGTCAGTCTGTTTAGGCAGGTTATTTTTATTCCCCAGTCGGTGAAAGTTAATTGACCTTCTTAATTTTGCCCTTAATCTGTCTGCTTTTCAATTCAATCACGCTTTAGCAATAGATAATTCAATCAGGGAATAGTTTCAATTCTTTATTAGTTGTATTTAATCTTGTATTATCGTGGAGGTTAGGTTTAATTGGCTTTCTATAGAAACAGGCGTTGATCATGAATGAACTGGGATACCTCATTTACCAACCAGTCGACGTGTAAAATCGAAGAAAACCCGGGACATTAATTTGAATAACATTGAGAAAATACGGAAGAGATCCTGTCGCGTCTCAAAGGTTTCGTTTGAAAGATTACACCAACGGGATTTCATGTTATACAGTAAAAAAAAGGCTAGGCTGGAATCTGAGATTACTCCGACCTCTTCATGACCGACGCCAAGGGAGGACTATATATGAGGATTAAGCTAAATTCATCCCACTAAAAAAAAAGCGTTAATAATAATAAAAAAACTACTCACCAGTATGACACGGCGGACTTAAAGTCAGTTGGTCAGTTGTAGCTGTTAACCAAAGACTATCATAAAACTTTCAAATCTCGATCAAAGTGGAAAACCAAATCGCTAATTTTTACTAATGGGGTCGTTTCCTTTATCGTCCAACATTAACACATTGTTTATCTTAGTGTTCAAACAAGATTTAGTCTTACGCGTCCCGTGAGGTGATCTTTTAGAAGAGTGGTTAAGTCAAGTATAAGCTAGTATACTCAACGGGAGTGCTCTTGACCGTTATTTACACTCCGGCTTTGAACAGCGACAATTTTAAATGTTTTTTGGCTACAAACTGAGTGATCCGTATGCCCAGTCAGGCATTTTTCTATCCGCTGGGGAAAAGAAGTGATTTAGGCCGGAGCCGTCAGTTACATGGAGCAAAAAGAAGTTTCATCAAGACTGATAGTTTCAAATTAGGAAAACTGGTTTGACCTTGGCAGTTTCTTAAAAACTCACTGTTACTAAGCTTTAATAGTCACAGCTTGATAAATGATTAGTATTCATGGTTTAATTCTTCCGATGATTTATATGATGCGAATCTAATTAAGAAAAGTTTTCCGGCTTTTTCTGTGAAAAAATGTTACGATATTAACTTTTGTACTGTCCTGACAGGCCAATAACGTGAGTCATCAGTAGACGTTTTTTGTTCCACGCACAGACCCGAACAGGCCTTGTAGCCCGCTTTTGAGGTTCAGTAATAGTTGCTTTAATGTCATTATCAAAAGTACTCATAGTCGGTAATCATAATTGTGCGACGATAAACGTTCTTTTTTTCTCTTCGTACTGCAGTCTCAAAGACGTGGTGCCTGCCATAACCTATTCAATATACCATACCCGAAGACCTCAAAGCCCACAATCAGATATACACCGCTCCAAACACCCCTCAGCTGACCTCACATCCTGTAGAAACTTTCAGAAGCACACTTATGAGGTTTAATAGAGCACGTAAAAGGATCAGCAGTAAATACTAATTACTTCCGAGATTAAACGACGGAGAGCGGTCTTTCTACCATGTAGACAAAGACCAACGGTGCCCCACTAATCCTCCTATTGCAGCATAACAAGCTGTTGTTCTCTTACTATAAGCGTAGACTCATTTAAAATTCCCTCCACGGGTCCTCCATATAAAGAGCACTAATTGAGCTGAGCACTGTGTGCGAATCTTAAACAAAAAGGGAAAGAAAGAAAGTAACTACAGTTTAGTCGGTCACGAAACTCTGAAAAATCACTGGGAGTGATTTTGTAAAAGGTTCTTTTCATATACGCTTGCCTAAGAAATGCTACGTAATCCTGATTTCAGCCGCGACCATCTTTCTATTTTTTTCTTTAGTGTTCCGACAGAATTTCTGATTTAGAGGAATACTGATCTGCACGCAGCGCAGGCAGATTCATTCTCGTATATTTTAAATGCTTTTTTTCAACACAATATTTGTCACCCCAAAAGAAGTAACAATACGGGACAAAATATTTAAAAAAATAACTTGAAAAAAAAACTATGAAAAGTAATAATAATAATAATAATAATAATAATAATAATAATAATAATAAACCAGAAAAAGCAGCAAGAAGAACTCAAAGAAACTATGAACTGTATGTTGAATAATTAGGCCTCCAGGGACTATAGGGTAAGGCGCAGAGTTTTATGTCTAAGAAGGAAGCGGCTAAGGATGCGGTTTATAATTCTGCATTATAATTTGCTCTCAAGGCTTTACTTAAAGAAGTAGTAATGGAATTTTAAATTGTCAAGTGAGGGAAAAAAGCTAAAGTTATTTAATGTCCGGTCAACTGATAGATGGTGGATGGATGGTAGGGGATTTAAGTGTAACATCACTGAAAATCGTTTGATTCACTTTCGCACTGATTACAATCTAGGGTACTAACACTGACTAACTT